CTTAGAAACATGAGGAGGGAAGACATTTCTACCATGGAGATCAGACATGGAGTACCATGTGTGAGGAACAGCAAAAAATCCAATTTGGCTGGACCGCAGGGTGAAGACAAAAGCATTGTTTAATAATTATGGAAGGGTATGTTGAAGATAGTTGTGAAAGATTTAGAATTCTGGAGTGCTGTTCTTTCATTCAGTCATATCCAACTCTTTGTGACCCCATGAACCATAGAATCCCAGCTCTTCTATCCTCCATTATCTGCCGAAGTCTGTCAAAGCTCATGTAAAAAATGTTGTTCAGTAACATGCAACTTTGTGATTCCGTACAGGGCTCTCTTGGCAAATTTATTCTAGAGTGGTTTGCCATTTTCTTCTTCAGTGAAGTGAGGCAAATAGGGGTTACGTGATTTGCCCAGGTTCACACAACTAGTGAGTTTCTGAGGCAAGATTTGAACTTGAGTCTTCCCAACTTCAGGCCCAGGACTCTGTCCACTGAGCCACTTAGTTTCCTCCAAAATTCTGGAGTAGTTTATATTATAAAGGCCTTGGTGCCTATTAGGAAGATTAGAAAAATAAATATATCATGGTTCTAACTCTTGTTCTTGTTATGTTTCTGTGATAGTGCCCTGCCTTTCTCCAGTTGTGTGGTGAGTTAGTTACCCTACTTGAAGAGAATGTGGTAAATATTGCCTTGCCTTATTCTAAGCCCTGTATACCGTCGCCCTTCTGAAAACCTTATGGCATTTAAGAACAGAGAATTGGTTTTCCAAGAAGGAGTTGTGGGTATTAGGAAGAAATACAATTAGCTGTCAGACTGTCTGCCTAAATTTCATCATTACAGTATCCTTCCTGGATACCCAGCTTGTTACTGTCTGTGCCTGGAGATAGAGTGAATGGGTTTGCCTGTTGCCAGAGGCTAGAGCAGCTAAACAGACTAGTACTACCAAAATGGAGCCAATTCTATTTCTGCCTCTAGGTGGACCAACCATCCATGCCATTGGCAAAAGGAAATGGTTGGAAATCTAGCACTGAGTTCTAGAGGTGGGAAATGGGTTGGGCATGTTGCTAGTGCAGACACTTCCTTTTACAGACAAATAAAGTGAGGACTGGGAAGATGAAATCGAGCGCAAGGGTGGTGGTGGTGGTTGTGGTGGTGGTGGTGGGTAATTCTTGTGTGACTTTTTTTGACCCTATTTGGGGTTTCCCTGGCAAAGACATTGAAATGGTTTGCCAGTTCCTTCTCCAGCTTATTTTACAGATGCAAAAACGGAGGTAAACACGGTTAAGTGACTTTCTCAGGGTCACACAGTAAGTGTCTTGAGGCCATATTTGAATTTGTGAAAAAGAGTCATCCTGATTCTAAGGCCCATGTTCTATCTACTAAGCCACCTAGCTGCCGCTCATTTTACAGATTAGTAAATTAAAACCCGTGGAGGTTCAATGATTTTGCCCGTCTCCAACAGAGAGGAAACAGGTCTTCCAGCCCTCTCATTTGACACTTGAGGAAACTGAGATACAGGGAAGTCAAGTGTCTGATGAAGCTGAACCAGTTATAATCATCGCCTCCAATCCTCTTTTTTCAAATGGGGAGAGTGAAACTCAGGGAAACTAACTGTCCTATGGAGGGTCAAACATGTAGGAAACTCAAAGGCCAGGTTAGAACCCAAGTCCTCCAGGGGTAGCTGAGTGGTTCAGTGGATAGTGCTAGCCCTGGAGTCAGGAGGACTTGTGTTAAAATCTGTCCTCAGACATTTCCTATCTATATGACCCTGGGCAAGCCATGTACCCTGTTTGCTTCAGTTTTCTCCCCTATCAAATGAGCTGGAGAAGAAAATGTGCAACGACTCCAGTATCTTCACCAAGAAAATCCCAAATGAGGTCACAAAGAGTTGGACAAGACTGAACAAGAACAACCTCTAACTCTAGTGGTCGTTCTTTTTCAGCTGTGTTCAAGGTGCTGATTATCAAATGACCTAAATATTATGCAGGTGATAATGGAAAGGATTTGAAACATTAAAATGGTAGGAGAACTTGAGCATTTGCCTGATTTTGTTTCTGTTAGTAAAGATCTATGGAGAGCTGAAAATTAACTTTAAGAGTTAGTATATTGTAAAGAGGAAAAGACAAAAGGAATATCTACCCCCTCCCCCTTCTCTGGGAAGGCATTAGGAATAGTTCCTTTTGCTGGTAGAAGGCTAAACACTTGGAAAACTTTTCTGGCAAGATTTTGCCTTGAAACTGTTATCTTGGTCACTAGCCCTCAGCCATATCCTAGTCCTAAGCTCTCTTCTTTCCCCCAAGATGTCAGCTTTTGAGACTATTTCAAGTGACAGCATCATTAAGTAAATTCAAAAAATGCTCACTAATCCTAATAAGAGAGGGAATCACCAAAGGTAGAAATCTGCACAGGTTACCCCACAGAAAGGCCATTTTCTAGGGTTACCAAATTAAGATGCCAGGGCCCTTACACAAGGCGACCCCACAGCAGTGTCTCTGACTACTTTAGTCTAGTCACTCTGACTGATAGAAAGGCTGACATTTCAATTGTTCTGGCCTCATTGAATGATTGTCTTAATTTTGCTTTTATATCCTAAAACTCAACAAGGTGTGTAGCCTATTGTTCAGTCATTTTAGTGTGTCTGACTCTTCGTCACCCCATTGGGTATTTTCTCAGCAAAGATACTAGAGAGGGTTTCTATTTCCTTTTCCAGCTCATTCTACAGATGAGGAAACTGAGTCAAACAAGGTTAATTGACTTGCCCAGGGTCACAAAGCTAGTAAGTGTCTGAGGCCAGATTTGAACCTTTCAAGAAGATGAGTCTACAGGACTCCTTGCCCAGTACTCTATCCACTGTACCTTCTAGCTTCCCCTGCATGGCCTATAATAAGAGTTTAATAAATATTCATTGATTGATTGATTGAGGTAGGTGATTTTATTATCTCCATTTTGCAGATGAGAAAGCTCCAGTGAGATGACTTCCCTAGGCCAACTTAGCTAGCCAATGTATAAGAATTGGGATATTAACCCAGATCTTCCTGACTCCAAGTACAGTGTTCTAGCCCCTATACTATCTTGCCTCTGATAATCTCAAAACAACCCCACAGGGAGTATATAAGACAAGTGCTACTATTTTATAAATTTTGTAAATTGGGGGAAAAGTTAATGTAAGAGCAGGGACTAGTGTCCGTAATTCCTGACTCTAGACCCAGGATGCTTTCTATCTGGTCATGTAGATATTGTTAGAATGAGTGAAAGTGGGTGGGGAAGGGATGGGGGAAGGGAAATAATGAGCTTCACTATGCAAATAATTTCTGAAACAAAGGAATTGTGTCGGATTGGACCTGACATCTCAGTGCAGTGCACTAAATATAAAGTAATTAGACTGGAGGCTGACCTTTCGGAATGTAGTAGAAACTCTAGGTGAGGTATCTGAATTTCTTAAGGGCAGGAGAGACTGATTCTCTTGTATGGAGTTTGGAACAGGTCCAGACACCTCATGCAGGATGGGCCAAAGCTCCCCTGATATAAATTTTGCTCAGGTTTATGATCAGTGAGGAGTTGGCACTTCGGACAGCATGGTGACAGTCTGGGGAAGGGGTAGTTTGAACCCAGCTTCCCACCACAATGTTCCCTATCACAATTGTTGTTCAGTTGTTCAATCCTGTCTGAGTCCTCATGACCTTTTGGACCATAGCGCAGCAGTACTGTCCATGGGGTTTTCTTGGCAAAGATATTAGAGAGCTTTGCCATTTCCTTCTCCAGTACATGAAGGCAAACTGAAGTTAAGTGACTTGCTTAGGGTCACACAGTTCATATTTGAATTCAGGTCTTACAACAGAATCCTCCAAATGTTGAAGATAGCAAGGGTGATCCAACTAAGGGATCCTCCCCTACTGAGAATGAGCCTGAGCTGAAAGCAGGTAGAGTTGGTCAGCTTATGTTTGTTTTGAGGCTCAGTACCATAAACCCTCGGTGTTAGAAAAGGGAGGAGATTAGACACAGAGCCACAGTTTCAGGAATATTTGGTGACACGAGCGGGTTGATTTTGGTCAAAAGCATAAATGTAGACTATGACGTGTGGCAGGATATAAGAAACGTCATTATTAGCAAATATTTATTAAATGTTTTATTTGGGCAGGGCATTGCTAAATACTAGAGATGTAGTCCCTGCCCCTGAGGAGCTTAAAATCTAGTTATGGAGGAAGGCCATAGATAAGAAAAAATAAATAAGCAGTGTTAAATGCCAGTAAGCCCTACAAGGGGGAGATCTTATTAAAGTCTGTGAGGGTGAGACTTCCATGTCCATTGTGACTTTCCTGGACACAAGGGCAGTGCTAGGCCACCCTTTTAGTGAGGTCTAAGAAATATTATCTGTTAGCCACTATTTGGGGCACTAAAAAAAAACCTTTGTGGTAGAGTAAAGCTTTCACCAGAAAATTGGGGCCTTCCTACATGGAATAGGGAAATAAGCCAAAAAGTATCAAGATCCTTTCTCACTCTTGAATCATCTCTTTCCCCTCCTCCTTCTCCTCCCTGCCCATGAACTTTGTTTGGAAGTGTGGTTGAATGATTAATTTTTAAATCCTTGATGTGAGCTCAGTTTACTTCTCCAACCAAAGTATGACAGTTAAAAACAGCATTCTGCTCCAGTAATAAATTGATATTTGATCAAATAAGGAGCCTGGTGGTTCTCTGAATCAAAAAAGTGATGGGGAGGGGTATGGGATGAGCATGGTTTGAAAGTTAATCTAGGGAAAGGGGAAAGTGGGAAAACAGACTACTTGGGTCTTAGAGGCTATGAAAACCCTTCAGGCTATTGATCATCCAGGTTATCTAACTGTTTCCTTAGGGAACACCCTAAATTCCTCTTTGCCTTTGAGTAGCTATGGATCAGGAAACTTATCTTGATCCATCAGTTACCATTTCTTCTTTTATCAAAAGAAATTAGACCTCAAGTTCTTTGGAGGTTACTGATTTTTTTTTTTCCGGTTTGTTTCCACAGAACGAATGATCAGTTGGTGGCATTTCTCTCTCGATACCGGGACATGAATTTCTTGAAATCACATGGCAGAGACAATGCAAGGTAACCTCTTTTTATGTTAACCTTTTGTAAAAACCAACTCGACTCTAAGAACAGCCACTATGTTCTCTCCTTGTTTGCCTTAGGATTTGAAATAAGAACATGCTACATGAATCATACGGTACTGTTACTCTAAAGCAGATTCAGCTCACTTTTTAATGCCATTAATAAGTTGACTCTGTCTTGCCTCCTATCTAAATTTTTTTGTTGTTTGTTTTTGTTTTTTTTGGTGAGGCAATTAGGGTTAAGTGAGTTGCCCAGAGTCACATATAGCTAGTGAGTGTTAATGTGCCTGAGGTCGGATTTGAACTCAGGTCCTCCTGACTTAAAGTCTGGTGCTCTATCCACTTAGCCACCTGGCTCCCCCCCCACCCCCCAAATTGTTGAAGTGTAAAAGTGCCTATGAAATTTTTGAAGACTATGCATGTAAGTGTTGATTATTTTAACACGCTAGAAGACTCTACCTTAGATGTCATTGAGAAAGTCTGCCATAGTGAATAGAGTCCTGGCCTAGAAGACAAGAAGACTTGGTTCAGGTTCTGCCTCAGACACATGGTGGCAAATCACTTGACCTCTCAGTATCCAAAGTGCTGGCCTGTATTGGTGAAAGGACTTCCCTCATCTCTATGTTCCCTATATCAATGAAATCATAGGTTCAGTTGTTATTCCTGTCTCATAACCTATCCCAAGTTGAAATCTGTCTCTGTGAAGGCAGTTCCCACGCTAGTAATGCCTCTTACCGGCAAAATCATAAAGCCTTCAGCATTCATATAATCTCTGACATAGTTAAGTGATGATGGGGCTCAGCATTTCGGACAGATTGGAATGGGTTGGTGTTAATCAGAAAAGGCTTCCAGGAAGTGGTGAGTTACCTGGATTTGTATCGACACTGAGTATTATTCCTGTTACCCTTAACAAAGTATGAGGGGCCCCATGCATCCCCATTAAGTTGACCCTTGTGTGCAGTAGGAAAGCACCATACCTTGCCCCAGGCTAGATTCAATGTGTGCTGGAATGATCATTTAAAGCAGATGTATGTGCACAGCAATTGGATTAGGCTTGGCACCACAATATTACTATGTGGCAGACCATAAGCCACTTTTTGAGGTGTGAGCATATCCTATACAGATGATTGGCAGGCCATGCTTTTGTTGGCAGAGTCAGCTCACCAATGGGGCTGAACTAGAACCAGACACAGGGAAAGTCTCTAGGAAAGAGGACTTCTCACCTTCCTATTTTTCCCAGGCTGGTGATCACCATTAAACCCCAGAGCCCTCTTACTGAAATATTTAATGAATCCTGACACTAGAACATAAAGCAGGGCTTAAGTTGCCAGCATCAGCTGGGACTCAGGTAATTTAGATCAATTAAGCTCACTAATTCAGCATTAATTTAATAGTCAAATGTGCTAATATGCCACTTGTCCGCTCCTCAGAGTAATGTTCTCTTCTTTATTAGCCAAAACAGTGCCTGCTGCATATATGCCATAGCTCTTCTCCCATCCAACACAACTTAAGAATCTGGCCCTCTCTTCTTCAGCCCAGAGACGCAGGCTTCCTCACTTGTGAGCTTCGCAAGAAGGGTGATGGCTCCTGATTCTTCCAAGCTCTAAGGAGAGTTCCTGGAAGGAAGATTGAGATCCAGACATGACCAGGGAAAATAGCTAGAGCAGGGCCAGCCCTTAGACCTGATTTAGTTACATGACAGAATCTCTTTATACCCTATGTGATAACTGAGCCCCTCTTAAAGTTCCAGGGTTATCCTCTGCATTCACACCCACTGATCTTATACTTTCTCTTTTCCATGCCAACCACAGATATCCTTTTGCCCACAACTTTCAGCAACCATGCTCAGAAATACCTTTTTGCCATCCCATCTTCTCTTTTTGAAATTTCCCTCTTATGTGTCTTAAGTACAACATTTCTGAAGCTACCAGAGTCATCCTTCTCTTAAGTAATCAATCTTCACAGAGACTTGGAGGCAGTGGCCCACCATCATATGAGGAGAGAAGAAAGTCTAAGAGGAGGAATTTCTAGGCCAAGTAGAGTGATATCCCATTGGGCTAATGTAAGGAGGCATTTTTAAGGTAGAGGCCCTCATGAAGACTCTCAAATCACAATGTATGCATAGCAAGTTACCTGCTCTGCCAACTAAGAGAGTAAACCTTGAGGTGAATCCCAAGTTTTAGGAAGAGATGTATATTTGATTGTAATACAAGGAATATGGGAGAAGAAAGTAATGGGGGAAAAGTTTCTTCAATTTTTTAACTATTCAGGATGTTCTTTATCGACAGGGCTATTTTTTCGGCAAATGACCTATTTCCACATTAGTGCTAATTTTTTTTACGTCCTAGTTGACACCAATATAAGAATCACCTTTCATAACATAGCTCTTGGTTCTAGTCCCAGCTCTTCAGGTTGGTAACTGTGCAACCTTGGACAAGCTACACTATCTACAAATGCTTCTTAAGTTGACTTCTCTCTGGCAATTACTTTTCTGGAAAAGAGGAGACATACATATATATATATATACACACACATATATACTTCCATACATGCATATACACATTCACAGAAGCATGTGTATAGGTAGTTAGATACACATACACCAACTTTTTTCTGTTTCGTCATTTCAGTCATATCTTACTCTTTTCGACCCCATTTGGGTTTTTTTTAGCAGAGATAGTAGAGTTGATGAGGTCTAGAGGTTTGGGGTGCTAAGACCCCAAGATCTCGATGTGGGCCCTGCCTGAATGAATTCAACCCAAATTTTCTTTCAGCCAGAGAAAAGTCTATTCGAATAAACCATACAGGCCAGACTCTTAAGGAATCTGAACACTAGTAATGCCCATAGGGACAAGTCTCAGCATTTTGGGCATGAGAGAGTCTCCGCATTTGAATAAGAGCCAGGGTAGATCTTATATACACTAAAGTAACTTTGGGTGGCCAGAGGAGGGGGCTAGGAAAAGGGTCTAGGTGAGAGATTGAATAGACTATAGGAATAAATAATGAAGGGAACTGTAAGGAAGAAGTTTGAAAGGCATGAGATCAAAAGGTGGGGCTAGGGCTTTCAAAGGGAGTTAAGGAGATGGGTCCCATAGAGAAATGGGAGCCAGACTCCCCTTCGGTCAAGGGGTGAAGATCTTGGCCTGGGTCCATAACCCATCAGAGTGGTTTGCCATTTCCTTCTCCAGCTTATTTTACAGATGAAGAAACTGAGATAAATAGGGTGGAGTGAAGCTAGGAAGTATCTGAGGCCCAATTTGAACTTGTGAAGATGAGCCTCCTTGACTCCCTAGTTCTCCCTCTCCCCTCTCTCTCTCTCTCTCTCTCTCTCTCTCTCTCTCTCTCTCTCTCTCTGTCGCGCGCGCGCGCGCGCGCGCACACACACACACACACACACACAACCAAATACACGGATGGGAGGGGGAAAGGAGGAGCACTAGGATAGAATACTGAAATCAGGAAGAGAATGAAATGTTGCCTCAAACACTTACTAACTGTAGGACCCTGGTCAAATCACTTTAACCTCTGTTTGCCTCAGGCCCCTCAAGTCTAAAATGGCAATCATAGAAGCACCTTCCTCACAGGGTTGTTGTGAGGATCAAATGAGATACTATTTGCAAAGTACTTAATACAGTGCCTGGCATATAATAGGTACTTAATAATGGCTTGTGTCCTTCTCTTCCATATACACTTAACCCCCCCCATTCCTTCTCCCCCCCACTATCTTTTTCTCAATCTATGGTTTTACAATTTATAATGATCCTACTAGAAGGAGAGATAGACAGAGGAGGTGAGAAGAAATATGAAGAGAAAACATACATAGGCTTTGTTTTTATATGTTCCTCAGTGTCTAATTTCATGTGGCTTATAATAGACACAATGACCTTCTCTTACCATCATATGTGTTTAGTTCGCAATTTGAGCCTCCAATTCCCAACTTGGGAAGCTAGCGTTAATACCATTTAGCATTTTAATGACAACCCAATTGGTCCTGGCTGTTCCCGTAATTAAATGGGGAGTATGTTTTGTTAAATGGTTTCCCTGTCTTTTCCTCAAAATAAGGAACTAAATGTATTGGAAAATACTTTTGCAGAATTATAACCCAGTAAGCAACTTTTGTGAATTAATAGATAAGCAAGTGCTGCCCAGCAGGTGGCTTTTCAGCCAGCAAGAGTCAAGCTTTGTAAACAGACCCTGATTCTTCACATCCTAAATGGCTAAGGTCTTTTCTTTTGAGAGCTGGAGAGAGGTTTCTGAACTGCCAGCTTTAAAGGGAAATGCTCATAGGACTACTTTAGCAGTATGTTTCCAGACAAACAGAAAGCAAACTCCCTTGTCCAGAAAGAAATTTGTTTCCTCCCCTTCTTCCTCATCCCTGTGTTTTTTTTCTGTCCCAGCTAATTGAGGACTCTATTGTCCTCATTTGTCCTTAGGGCCATCCAGATAGCTTGGTCTTGATACTCTCAACTGTGCCCCCTCCTTTGGGCCAGGGCCTAAGCCACCTGCCCATAGCTTTAAGTGCTCACTCCCTGCAGGCCTTCTAGAGAGTGAAATAGGAGTAGAAGCAGGAATAGAGCCCGAAGGTCTCCATCCATCTCCTTGTACTTAATATGATTTGCAAAGGCAAGGACACTTGTGAAGCCTGTCCCAACAAGCAGAGTGCCATGGGTTCCCAGTGGTTTTAGTTCCCAGGCAGATGTAAGGGTCATGGGAGAGCATCAAACCTTGCCTACTGGGTGCCTACTTTGCTTTCTTATTTTCTTGCCTTTCTTTAGTATCCTTCCTCGTTTATGTTGTCTCATCCACAAGTGCCCAGTGAGAAACCTGAAGTCCATGAAACCCAAGCAAGCTGCTTGCTATGGAATTCTTTAGTATGTGATTCAGTGCCATAAGCATCATTGAGGAGCACTTGCTAGGTTCCAACCTATCTGGTTCTTCTTTGATGGCATCCCCTCTCCCCTGTGTTTTTGAGGATCGTTGTTGGGCACAAAATTGGAA